ATTTTTCCAATTGTATACATGAGGTAAAATTAATGTGAATAAAAAATGCATAAATTTTTTTAAATAACATTGATAAAAAAAATCATTGACAAGTGTAACTATGTATTTATTACTCTTATTTAACATTTATTGTTATTAGTAAGTTAACTCAATCTTTTATCTTTACAATTTTCTATTATAATTAATAAGAATTCGAACCTGTCATACATTTCATTAGGTTAAAGTACTTTTAAAAGATGTTATCAATTAAAAAAAAAACATGAAAAATTTTAATTTAAAAATATCAATAATTGGTTAAAAATATACAAATTTAAAGCACATGTAAATAATAGAGAAAAACAATATCTACATATGCGCCCAAATATGTTGTGGGACAGAAAACGTTATATATTGCTGCATTGCGCAGGAACCTGATGTCACATACAAATTACACATGGTGGTTTTGTGGACTGCGGCGTCATGAAATAATCATTTGTAGAGTATTATTTAAACCAGCCGTATCTCTGGTGTAACATCAATAGGAATAATCCGATGCGTTAGCTGTCTGCTCTTGAACTCAATTTTCCTAGTGATCTTTGCCGACAAGTCGATATGTTTTTGCCTTTTCTGTCTCATCTTCACCCTCTCTGTTTCATTATTATTACCATGCTTTCTTATATATAAGCAATCCAACTACCTTACTCTTTCGTTTTTTTTTCTGCTTGATTATATTATCTTCATCCTTCGGAAATACATTAGTTTTACATGACATATACACATCTAACATATATAAATATTATTATATAACATATTAATTTATATCATGTTATTTTATAACAATGATATATATGTTATTCATTGCATCCTCTGCTCTATTTCTAAGTAAGAATTTTTTGTAACTTGTGAATTATAAGATATTACTAACATAAAAAAAATATAGTGAATATAAGATAATTTATAGATCAATGAATAATTAGACTGAAAACTATAGTTTGAATATATGTTTAAGTTTCTTTATTTTTATAAAATAAACCCTTATACCATATAAATTGACAAATAAAAAATTCCGTATATTGAATTTTATATATCAATATAAAAATGAAATATAATAAAATTTATAATTTTACAAAACGCATTTTAATTATAATTAATGTTTATGAATTTTTCTGATTATTTTTAAATTTTTACACGTGTTGTTGAAGAGTGTCGTTGAAGAATATCGTATAGAGTTAAAAGATTATAATTATTTTTGTGAATTATTTTCATTCGAGAATTATATTCATAATTCGAAGATAAGAAGGCTCGATATGTTATTAAGAATAATATAATTAAGATAAAATTCATATTTTCGATATATTGCTAAACTGATTAACTTTTCATATAAGGAGAAAAAATGTACATACATTTTATAATAAATTAAGCAAATTAATAACAAATTATGTCAAAAAATAATGCATTTTACATTTGTAAAACTTATGCACTTCTAGAAAATTTATCATTTGATAACTTTAAAAAAGGTAACGTTTTTTTTTCTCAAAATGATTTTGATAATTATAGACCTTTTTATACAGTCTTGATACCAATTTGAATATCAATTTTTTTTACTTTACAATTTTTAACTTTATTGTTATAATATTGTAATATAAACTGAAATTTTCATTTCGGATTTATATCCGTACATATATACATGTCTATAATATCATGCATATAATTAATATTCATAACGCTTATTTACTTTCATTTTTTATTATTGAAATAGTAAATGTTTACAGTAAAAACAAATAAAAGTACAAATATATATAGTAGATGAATATATAAAATAAATATAGCATAGTAAAAATAATGTTTATAGTCAAAATAGTTCTTGTTACATTAACAGTTTTTTTTTTACAATAGATGAGCGTAAATATATTAATGTAAAGTTCAATATGCTTTATTAATTTAAAAAGCGCACAAGTACGCTTTTCATCACAAATATTATCACAAATACGAGTCAATTATTTATTTTTCTGCAGTGATGAATTACGATACAAATTAATCAATATCTAGAACTGATTATTTATTATTTTATCTATTATTTAAAATTTCGGTCATCAAAATTAAAATTTATTTATCAGTAATCAATACATAAAATATATTCATAAAAAGCAAAATTTATTTTCAAAAATGTATGACATAAACGTAAGAAAGATATATTAATAATTTTTTAAACACTAGCGTGTTTTATATTTCCGATAGTATCTATAGGTAACTAAACATGAAATCTGCGAAGGTTTGAGTATTTCTAGCGCTATAGTTGAAAATACGTTCTGAATAGTGCAGTGTCTGCTGATTTGAAAAGTTTGTAATATAATGCAGTAATGGAGATGAGATATATTTGCTGATTTACTATTAAAAAAATTAATGAAAACCTGTTGCTATTTTATATTTTAATTGGTAATAGAAAATATGTATTTTTTAATGTGAAAAATGATTAAAATCTAAGTTTTACGTATGAAATCAATATTATAGCTTAATCCATATTCATTCATCAAGAGAATTTAAAATTTGCCCTCTTAAAGATTTTCAACTGATTACTCATAGTGGATGATAGCAGATGTAATTATGTCACTCAGTTTATATTATAGAAAAGTTAATCTTCAACTAGTGACATAGAAGTAGACGTTAACATTTTATCATTATACTCAAATTTCATGAAAAACTTGAACAATTATAAGCTTTATACAAGCTTATAATACTATAATATTATAAATTGAACCACGTTCGCTTATATTTATAAATAATAATATATAAATGAGTTTTTTTCGATTTTATCAATAAAAAAAAATTGTTCTGTTCAATTATAAAGATAAATGATCGAAATAGTTTAATTAATATTTACCTAGTTGATGCTTAATATTTATTATACAAATACTTGATAATCATTACTTAATTCATGTCATCGTGTTTATTTTGTTTATCATTTCTGAATTCAGAGGTGCTTAATTATACAATATTTGAAAATGAATATTTCCAATTATTTATATGAAGTCTAAGAACATATAAAAAAATTAATATTTTATTTTATTCGGTTTTAGAGAAAAAAAATTAATGGGAAGTGACGAGATGACAAAACGAACGATAGTATCGACAAAAACAAGAAAAGGGGAAAGGATTTAGAAAGCTGTTCTTTATGATTATGTTCATGTCAGTTAACAATATTTATCCTTACACTCAGTGCATATGCAAGTAGAGTTTCAAAGTTTATATGAAGGCATGCGAGGATACAAAGCTAAAAAATTTTCACTCGTATCACTTCTCATACACCAAATTATGAAAACTAGATAAAGTATGTTTTTTAATAAAATTGAAACAAAAAAAATTATTAATGGAGATTAAAATAATAATTAACGTAGATATAAGATTGAATTGTGAACAGAAAGTTAACAAAAAGATTTCTTATGACATCCTTACGAAATTACAAAATACTGAAAGAAGAAAAGAAAGAAAAAATGAAAGCGATTTGAAGTATAATGAAGGAAATTGAATCAGTGGCTTTTACTTCTGCAAGAAGATTACAATCTTTACCTTCTAAGAGCTTATCATAAATTGGTAATTTTTAATTTTTTTTCTTTCTTTTCTGGAAAATTATTAATTTCTATTTATTCTTTTTATTAAGTTATTTTAATTTTTTTTTATCAGTTTTTATCGTATTACTGACATTGATTAATACGATTAAAAATGATATTACCGTTTTCATTTACTATATTTCTAAATTTGTAATTATAATTTTAAATATTAAAATAAAAACAAAGCCATAGAAAGAAATACGATGGTATTGAACGACAGTCGTGATTAATACTATTTTTTTTTTTATCACTTATTTTATTATTAAATTTATTCTTTTAATATATAAAGATATATAATCTATAATATATAATATATAAGAAATTAATATTATTATATTAGTAATTTATGATAATGGCTTACTATAATAAATCTATCACTACTTTAAAGCTATGTTAAATAAGTCTATTTTATAAAATCCCGTTCATTCCTACAGATGCAATTAGTTAGATTCTCAAAAAGGTACACTTGTATAATGTAGTAGAATTACCAGATAATTTTCAGCGAGCGTCCAAGAATTTTATAAATAAGAATTATTGGTAATAGTTTTTTTTTCTCTTCTTCTCATTATTTGATATTATTATACATTATGAAATGCGTGTTTAAGAAAAAATTCAATATAAATCATCATTACTTTATTGAATAATGTTGAAATATTGATTAATTTTCAATTAAAATATTATGAATAAAACAAGTAATATGTTACATAAGAATATTTATTACATGATAAGTATGAACACATGTAAATAAATACCGTAATATACTATTCAATTTTAAACAAAGTGTATCGATGCATCCAATTAAATTAATTAAATTAATAAATTAAAAAATTATAAATTATATTATAATATAATTTTTTTTAAAACATAACGTCAACTTGTATTTGTAATGAGTATTTGCAATGCGGTATTTTTTTAGTTCATATATAAAATATAATATAAATTGTTATACATACAATTATATTACTTCTAGAATAGCAATACAATGATTTATTAAAAAAAATGATCAAATTATTAATAAATTATTAATAAACCCATATTATTATAATATATTTATTATAATAAATTTTTCATTAGTTTATTATCTGAAATAGTATTGAGTTGATTGCCTGTAATTTATTCACCAATCGATTTAATGGTTATAATATTTATTTCAGTATTAATATCACAAATTATAAGTTTAGAAAATTGCTATCGAATTATTAAGAAGGTATCTAGAATACAATATCCGTAGATAACGTGTAACATTACTATTTTATTAACGAAAATGCAGTTGTATGTTATCAAGTTTCGTGCAAGAGTAATTTTTATGCATCACCAGTTTCCTTTAGACAAATGAATTGAATGCCGATGCTGAGATAAGGCATTATAGATTAACATGCGCGAATTAAGCAATGACGGTTATGGTGTACTTACTAGTAGCGCTGACTGCAGGTCCGATGAGCGAGTACTTCGACTTTCCAGTAGCTGCCCCTGGGACGACCTTCTCTGGTTCTGCAACACATTGTTATAATTATTCTCCATAATATACGGCATCTATTAATTACATAGCCGAAACACAATTACGAAATTCAGAGGAGGGTGGAGGAGTAGAGCAACGGAGGCCTTAAGATTCCGCCGCTTCATAAAATATCATGTAATCCACCTTAGTGCTACATCTACGCCACTATGATTCATTACATCATAAATGTGACTTAAATGATTTGCGCACTCGATCCCTTCGAGCTTATATTTCTGGTCGATATTAACATTGTTATTGCAGCTAATGTTGACCGTGGCTTATATTGTCGTTCATTATTTTTTCTCCATTATTTCATTATCCTAGCAAAATTTTTATAAATAAATTAATATTATGATCATTCTGTAATCCTTCCTTTTATAATTATTAAAACAAGAAAAAACTGAGTTATACCTGCAGACACGCTATAATTTAAGTTATAATATATATTTAAATTTATAATTTCATCTTTATCCTACGGGTATTGGAAGAAATATACACTAATGAAATAATTAATGTTTTTAAAAATAACAATTTTTATTTTTTACTAAATATAAATATTTATAAATGTAATCTCATATTAAAAATAAGAAACCGCTTATATACTTTCTAAATTATCTTAAATATTATATAAAAATTACGGTATCTACATATATATATATATATATATATATATATATATATTCAAATATAATTTAATATATCATAAGCAAGTTTATAAAGAGTCATTCATATATAAAAATTGAAATAAATACGAAGTATAAACTATGATCTTAATGTATTTTAAATTTTTATATTATATTTTGAAGTTAAAAATTAAAAACATTTACCACTACAGGAACTATAATATCACCGAATAAAATATTTTACCATTTGTTGTTTAAGTATATATTGTTATCAACAGATTAGAAAATTTTATACCGTCAACCATTTTCTTCTTTACCATCTGAGAAAATTAAGTAGTTTGATAAACCTAATATATCTTCTATACCGGTATTTAAAAAATTCATTTTTCATTAAAAATATATACATTATTTTTATTTATCGAAAATATTTGTAAAATTTCTGTTGCTAACAAAATAAAATTGAACATGTTTATAAATGATCATAAAATTACCAACGTAAAATTTTAATTTTATTATATTTTAATTTATAATTGATCAATTATTTATTTTATATATTCAATGTTATAATATCTAACCATTTGAAATTTATTAATTGGACTAATTGATAATTAATAACTTAATAAATTACAACAAAGTCTTTATTAAATTTTGGAATATTAAAGATGAGTTTGTAGTGACATGAATTCAAATTAGTAGTAGATATAGATGTTTCATTGTATATCAATTATAGAAAAAATTTTTCTCGTAACTAATTCAATCTTCATTATATCTATATCGAAAAACAATGTAAGATAATTAAATGGATAAAGTTCTTGTTGAAAGATCAAATAGCTAAACTAAAAGACAGCAAAGTTATACATAGAATAATAATGCATAAAGCATTTAAACGCATCTGTTATTATCGAATCTTGGAATTTTATTAGTGTAAATATATATATGAATATATAATTTGTTAGTCATTGTAAAGTAGGGAAAATTAATTAAATACTTCGAAATATAAATTGTTTACATATTATAATATAATATAAATCGGGTATGTAAGCAAATTTAATCAACCACACCATACGCAGCTGAATATTAATTAAAATATTCTATTTACAGCTATTAATTGTTATTTCAAGTTGCCAGAATAATTTAGCACTGTCTTACATATCAATTATCTAATGATTTTATTTAGTTCATAAACATTGATATAAATTAAATATATATAAAAAGAATTTTTACACTCAATTTTTCAATTTATCATTTAAAAAATTTTCTTGTATTAAAATGATAATTTATGTAAGACAATTTTGCCTTAACAATATTTTACTAAATATATCAATATAATTCCAAAGAATTGAAATGGTTCTAATACCTGCAACTATATCATCGAATGGTTGAAATTGAAAGCTAGCCTTGAAGCCTTTACCAGGCCATTTTGAATTTGCAATGAAGTCGACGTGCAAATCCGAGCCCGTACTCAGTACTTCCACTTCCGTATCTTCGTTGCATAGTACCGCTATTGTTGGGTAAGTTGGATCATTGCCGTCGTGCACCTTGATTAAATCAGCTCTATTCAGACAACTGAAATCAACGAATATCGTATATTTTTATGTATTATCTATCGCAGATAAAGTATGATCTTTAAAATGAGAGTGAAGCTAATTTTTGTTAATTTTTAAAAATTTATACTTGTTGAAAATGTTGGATAATTTGACGTACAAAATTTGACGTTACAAATTCAATTGAATTAATAAGAAATTTACATATACAGAAGACTGAAACAAATATTTTCTGAACTTTTAGTTTTATATTTTTTAAGCACCATTTTTTAAAACTAACTATATCGTTATATACCATATGTAATGTTTATTAAAAATCATAAAAAATTTTTAATGTAGAAAAATTGATCATTAATAATCATTCAAAAATACAAAATAAATAATTATATTTCTAAATTTTTTTAAACAAATCCATTAAATTAATCATTTTTTCAAATGAACTTATTAATTTTGAAAGAAAATGTCAAAATTTCAAAATATTAATTTTAAATTAAAATATTTTATCAATTAATCCTCAAAATTTCATTATTTTTTTTTTTTTAATTTCACCTAAATTTTTTCTTCAAAATTTTACAAATTTTGTTTGTGTTATTTTTATTCTTTTTTTTTTTTTTTTTAAAGTAGTAAAAAATATTTAATTCATTAATTTAAATCTTATATTACAAAAGCGTATGTAAATGTTCAGATTAGATAATTATAAAAGTTTTTGATATATTTTTAGAAAAAACAATACAAACGATAAAATGTAACGTTTTGAGTACTATGAATATAACCATAAAATTATATTGTCAAATTAACATATTTTGTTTATTTTAGACATACATAACAGATTTCAATTTTTTATGTTTGTTTCTAAAAATTTTTATTTGGATCATTCTAGCATTTTTTTTTTAAGTTGCATTTAGTAGATATTACTAATTGATTTTTCTCTATATTTTTGGACAAGTATAATTGTTTTAATAGATCTTATTAGTCACTAAAATAGTAATAGTTATCAATTTTTATTTTACGTTAATTATTTTTAATGAACTAATATTCTTATTTTTAAGAATTGAATTAATTATTATTACATTCTTTTAATTCATTTATGATAACATTTAATATTGTTTACTTGTAAACAAAACAATTTTTGATATTTTCCACTTTAATTTTTTATTAGTATTATATGGATTATTGTAGAAATTTAATGAAATTCCATTGCATTTTTATTATTTAATATAATTTAACTCTGAAAATATAAGTTCAAATTATTTTATTTTATATTATGTTATTTATTTTATATGTTGCTTTATGTACGTTTATTTATTGAATTAATGGAAAGAAATATAAAAATGTAAGGATAGATTAAAAATATTGATATAATGTTGGAAAAGATATAATTACTCTATGATAAATTTTCGAAAATCTCACGTTAGTTTAGTATTGAGTTTTTATGATTTTATTCTAAGAGAGTGAATTCTGCACCACTTCAATCTCTAAGTCCCTAAAGACTAATGTTCTTCTATTTTGACTTCTCACTCCCCCACTTTCGCAATAGTTTATTCTCTTACACTTTCTCATTTATTCACCTCCGAGGTATATAAATTCCTTTTTTTCTTAAAATAGCTGGGGTACCATTTTTCTTACTTTATTAAAGTCCAGGTCTGTCTACCATAAAGTATCACTGTATATTTAGGTTACTCAGTAAATGAATTCACTGTTGAAAATAAATTTTTGCGATAGAAAATTACTAAGCAAACGAGAAATAAATAAAATAAAATTACTCAAGAAAATTCGGTTTATTTCCAGATATTTTTATTCGTACGCATAGTGAGTTACCAGATATTACTTAAATTAGATCAAAATAATCAATTTACAAGATATATAATAATGCAAATAACAGCAATTAAATAATTATATATCTAGATTTATAATGTCATACGCAGTAAAACGATACATTTTATACATAAGGTAGCGCATGTTTAGTTGGAAATACCGATTGTTAATCATGTATCACTCGTTTTTACCTAATTATTTCATTTGAATGAATCCTGTTTTTATAATTTTCTTTTTATATCATAATTATAGTGTAAATAAATAAATATGTGATGTATTAAGTAGATAATAAAAATAGTTTTCTTCAATAATTACTTTCTTCAATAAAGTTTCTAGTCATTACATTTATTCTATGTATATATATTTTGTGAGTCTATCAAATAGGAACTTTCATTAATTATCACCGTTTCTGATTCTAAAAATATTTTCATTTAAAATAATATTTTCCTAAATTTCTAAACTATTATTATAATGCATAGTTTTAATTAATTAACTGTTCAAAACCAATTACATTTTATTCGATTTCATAAATCTATATGTGACAGTTTTTTTATACAAGAAATTTTATAAAATAGTATTTTTATACTATTTTCACGATGGAAATACTTCTAAGATTATCTGTAAGTTTATTCGACACGTTATTCATAGTCATGTTATTTATTATTTAAGGACTGACAGAATTTATTGTGTATTTATTGTCTATCATTTCATAGGTAGTAAAACAAATAAAATGTGAAATATATCAGTTATTATTATACATGATTTATTAGGATACATTAATTAGGATAGTATTTATCTGCTGCAAAATACAATAGAGACATGTAATTTAATAATTCTATAAAATCTTATTGAATCATACCTTATGTCACCTTTTTGCAATGACAGTTCTTCAAAAACCAAACGTATACGCTCCTTCATCCTATACATGGAAATATGTTTTAAAAATTAATGAATTATATCGTGGATAAAGCGATAAGTATTAACGCTAAAATTTCACAGTTTCAGTTTTGTCAGAACATTATTAATTTTTAACCTTCAAATTTACAAGTTATCTGTCTTTCGAATTTACAATTTGGCTGTCCATAAACTAATAAAGCTGATTTTTCGTAATATAAACGCAAGTTGAAAAAAAGAAAGTTTGTGCAAGAAACAGAGTGAAAGAGAGAGAGGAGAGAGAAAAAAAGAGAAAGAGAGAGAGAGAGAGAGAAAAAGAGAAAGAGAGAGAGAGAGAGAAAGAGTCAATGAAGAACAAATGTAATGTAAAGGTGAATTATACATTGAGTTGACGTTAATCGAAAAAGTTTCTGCATAACTTACATAAATTTTAAAGCGCATTTTAATTGATTGAGTTAAAAAAAATGTTTTCTAATTGCTTTTAAAGCACAATTTAACTTACCATGTAAAAATAATTTTCATAGTTTATATTACTTTATATAATAAAATTGATTTTTTAGGAATTTTAAACTATGTTTTATATAAAAATAATTAATATAATTACAAGTTTTATTTTAATGCAGTTTTTCCGATGATAGATAGACTGTATATTACACATGTTCAATTTTTTATAGTTATTTTCCGTTTTTCAATAAAAATATTAAATAATTAAAGATACATAAATGATTTTTATGTATTGATATTGAAAAAATTTATGAAGTTTATTATTTGTAAGTTAGACTAATCCTGACCAAATTTTCTTTCTATGTTACATTTTAACGTGGAGGTATATCGTGCTGTTATCAATAGTGCTTTTTTGTATCCATTAGTAGTTAGTTAATTGGTGTCATTTTTATCTTTATCACTACTATACTGCCTTTATATCATTATTATATTTTGACGGTAGAGTTTTGTTCTGCAAAATCAAATTTGTTTTCAACTTTAGATTTAGCCTTGATACATGTACATATACTTTTCATTAATGCTTGGATGGATTAATCATAATTATTATTTACTAATTAGTACTATTTTACTATTCTACAGAAAATTGAAAACGATAATGTTGAAATTTACATATCTTTTTGAGATATCAATTTTCTACTATAAATTTGATCAATGAAAATCCTAAGAATTTTATTAAATCAATGCAATAAAATAAAATAAAAAATACAGATAATTTATTTATATACAAAAATGTTCATGATTATTTCAATATTGTAAACATTTTATATTATAGCAAAGCATCTTAACCGAGCATCAAAATGTAAAAATGAAATTGTAATTTGTATATATTTGTAGTTTTATCAATATTAAAGTGCCGTTTAAATCTGTATAATTTTATTATTGACTATAGTTTTCATAAGATATATTTGATAAATTTTCAATACAATATTTAGAATTTTAAAAAATTCATACACAATATTATTTATTTATAAAAGAATTATGAAAACATACAGTTAATTGAATGAATCTATTCAATGATTACAATTTTTGCTCAATTTATTAAAATATTTTAATTTTTACAAATTATTTTATTCTATATAATAAAAAGCATAATACACGATTAATAATTTTATTAGCATTTATTTTTAATAATATCAATTTTTAATACAAAATGTAATTTGTAACAATGCAAAATTTAATGCTTATGCTTATTAAAATTTGTGTAAAAAAAATATAAAGTGCAAATAAAAAGAGAAATTAAAAATAGAATAAAGAAGTAATAATCAACAAAGAGTCTTCTCCATCAATCTCTATCAACGTAGTAATTTAATTACTCTATTTTTATATAGAGATTTATCTTTTCTTTAGTAATATTGCAGTATTTGACATATATGAAAAAGATGAAAGAGAAATACAGAGAGAGAGAGAGAGAGAGAGAGAGAGAGAGAGAGAGAGAGAGAGATTGAAAAAATTACTAAAGAAGTATAATCAATACAACAAAATTGATAACTAATGATTGATGCAAAAGTAAAAAGAAACGTGATCTATTGTTATCCACAAAAAGCACAATCTAAACTTTCATAACTCTTTCGCAATAAAATTATACTCCTTGTCTTCGTTCATTTCTTTGTTTTTTCAATTTGATGTTGTATAGTGTACGTGAATAAAATACAAAATATATATGTAACTCACCTGGCGCGAAATTGATAAGAGCAACGGATATTTTCCGGGTAAAACGATGGATATCGAGGTGAGTAAAAGCGTCCATATTGAGGTGTAAATTGTGAACTAATAAAATGATAATCACACATCTTATTAGGTGTAAGTTTTCCGTCCGTTTCGAAAATACCTATAAACATTGAAAGACATTAAAAAATGCTTTCGACTTTATTAAGATTTTTAACTAAATATATTATTTCTCAAAAATTGTTTATTAAGAAATTTAAACCTAAAATTTAATTAATTTAATCAGTGTAATTTAGACTATTGTGAATTATGAAATAAATTATTATTGAATTTATCCAATTTTTTTTAAACGATCTAAGCGTAGAAAAAAGAAATTGTCGCAATAAATTATATATCTTTGATGAATCATAATTGATGAATATAAGTTATATCAAGACATGAATTTGTCTATTACGATGTAAGTATAAAATAAATATTAATTAAAGTTTTTCATAGAATATTTTTTTTACATTACTTTATTTTATTATAACGTTCATTATTATTAATAATAATTTAATAGTTGAAAATTCATTGTAATGAATATTTTCATAAAATTTTTTATAGTTTCTACTTTCATTGAATAATAGCATCATTACCCTACGATTATCAATTCAGTGTAGTTTCAATACGATCAAGTCATATGAAATTCAAGTATTTATCGATAAAAGTTAGCTCATTTTGGAGAAATAAATAATAAAATCCACGATTGGTTACTTTTATAAAATTTATAAATTGTAAATAATCAAAACAATTACAATAAATTTCTACTCTTAAAAAATTTAACTCCTGAAACATCAATCTCTTAATATTTATTACCGTTAAAGTAAATAGGAAATCATCAATTTTTTTTATGTATAATATTTATTTTTATGTTTATCGTAATAGTTTTTATAACAGTATAATATCTGCTAATGATATTGTAATATAATACAATAATCTTGTAATAATCTAGCAATATTGTAATAAAATAAGAAATTGTTACATGAGCTGTCTTTCGAATAGTTAGTAATTTCATAGTGTTACAGGTAAAGTTAATTTCCAATTCACGTAAATTCACCTCGATTAATGTAGACCTGCGTACACAAGAGAATGTGTATACTCGTCAAAGTGTGGTTTAAACAATTACTGAATGGAAACTTATAAAAGGAATATCATTCACAAATATGTTAAAATGAATTCGATAAATCTAATAGAGTTAACGAACATAGCAAAACTGAAAATTCAAATAATTATGTTAATTGTTGCTACTAGGTCATTAGGGGTTTATGATTATCTGATTTATTATTAGGACAGCACAATTATTACAATAGGTAATAAGTTGGTTAGACTCTATTCTTGAGTCAATAATCTACTTCTTTTAGGTTGGAGTTAATGGCTTGACTTTTTCGCTATTGGTAGGCAAACTTTAGAGCTCTTTTTATTACTGTTAATGTCAACTATTTCTACTATCTTTCAATAATTCTTATTCATTCTATGAACATATGTATGTATTTTGTCTTATTATTTTATCTATTAACAATGTATTATTTAATAATAATTCTTAATTCTGTTCTACATTATTTAATAAAGTAAAAGTAAATTTTATTCGAATACTTTATGAAATAAAGATATTTTAAATAAATTTTTAAAAAATAACATAATATTTTTCATAAAATTTGTATATAATAATAAAATTATATATAATATATAATAAATATATAATATATAATATACATATTATATATAATATATATATATATATATATATAATAAAATTACTATAAATATTGACAGAAATAGAAAGGGCATATTTAAATAATAATTATTTAAACACGTCTAAATAAATATATACAGGTTGTTCAAATTTTTATAATTATTTTAATTAGATTAAAATTATATTTATTAAAATATTTTTTAAATAAAATAAATCTGAAAATTCGTACAATAAATATTTATACATAATTACATATATACACGCATTCATACATTCCTTTATATGTATATAAATATAAAAATGTCAATACAAATTAAATGTATTTATTGAGATGTAATATATTTCATATATTATTTTTTATATGGAATTTTATTATTTTTATCTAAAACAATTTATTCATATAACTTTCTACAAATTTTAAAATTTTTTCCAATTGTCCAAGTGTCCAATTTTACCTTAAAGGCCTTATATTGCTTAATAATTTTACAATAAAAAACATGCTGTCAATTTTTATAAATTTTGTATTATAACCTTCGTTGAACAAAAATATCATTATGTTTATTTAATACTATTTAAATAACATAAACTTTTTATGCTTATAGTTTCTTTTGCTTAAATGTTTTTAGTTCAAAGTTTTACGATTCTTAATCCAATTAATTATTTATTACATTAATTCTAAACTTACTTCGCAAAATGTTAAAAACATGAACTATTTTGTACATTATGCATTATATTTTGTTTATATTATGTACTTTATATTAATATAAAAATTATTTATTTTGAAATAATAATTTATAATTTATATATTTAAACTGAGTAGAAACCATTGTAAAAATAGTTTATTTCGTATACGATCTTTGCAGGTTGCATAATTTATTAAATGATTTCTATTTTCAAATGAACTGAATTTATAATGATTTATTAATATTAAGTTGACATTGAAATTAATATTATTTATTTTTTATTTCAAAATCATCATAAAAGAAGATTGTATAATTTATTCGAAAAAGATAATGAATTAAAAAATATTTTTAAATGTTTTATATATTTGGGATTCTGTGTTAATAAATAATGAAGTCCATGTTTGTTTTGTATTAAAAAGTTAGGTTTTTAGCTCATTATACTTTATTATTTTATTGGTTATACCTTTAATATTTAAATTGATTAAATTTTTCGGATGAACTGTTAAATCTAAATTTAATTAATAAAAATTATTAAATATGAAAATAATAGGAAAATAGATGAAAATAAATTATATTGTATAAGAAAAATACGATTAAGAAGTTTTATCGACTGAATAATGATGAATGAATTCGGCTTAAAATTAAAACTGAAACTAACATTCAAAATATTGAAATTCATTATCAAAAAGTATTCGCGAATATAAAGATTAATAGAAAAAATTAAATAAAAGTTTTGCAAATAAATCAAAATAATACTTGAGATGAAGAAATACATTTTATGTATAGAAAACAATAATAATTTATTCAATATTAAAGGTAAAGTGAAGAATAGATATGAAAATTAAAATTACAATGAAATAAATAACAAATTTTAAATATTCATGGAAGAAGTTAAAGTATACAGTCTAGTTGTGGGCGATTTATAAATGATTTATTTCATGTATTAGTTTAATGTTCCTATTAAGAACAAAATATATATATATGAAGTATTAAAATACATGAAGAGACACAACTTCCCCGGTGTCCCATCGCAACAAAACTCACTACTATTTGCCACATCACGGTGTACTTAAACTACATAGCACTATCGCAAGGTTAAAAGTGGTATTCAATGGCTCAAGCTCATCAGGATCGACATCAGGATATTCAATCACTGATCTTATGCACACGAGAACTAATCCGAACTCAGAAATTTCAGATGTGTTCATCTGGATACATTGACATCGATATTTTTTTCCTACAGATATCACAAAAATGCACAGGCAGATAAAGATTCACAAGAATGATTGGGTCCTACAAATAATCGTTTAGATTGACGAATAAAACAGACAAGTACCATATGACTTAACAACAGTCACCTATGGTACGAGAGCTGCTCCATTTTTAGCAGTCAGAACATTGCTGCAGGTGGTGGAAAACGAAGGAGAAAAATACCCTTTGGATGTGCCATCCATCACGCATGGCAGATATGTCGATGACACGGTGAATTACTGAAAAACTTCAATTAGACAAATAAATTGTATATAATATCTATTAGAAAACAATTTTTTATATAATAAAAGATTTTCTTCGAATAAATCATATTAATCGTATATAATTAAGAAAGTTAATTTAAAAATGGTCACGGAGAACTCACGGCGGTACATTCAATATCACCCCTTTTAACTCATTTCCAACTGTACAATAGTGGAAGATGAGGCTGAGCTAATAGAACATATCATTAGTGATGCAATTGATCTGCTAAAAAAGTTGCACCTATTAGTCATCAAAACTGACACATGGGACTGCATAACCGTCCACCAACTGACGCAAAGACTCACCCATCGCACAAGAGAGCAGTGGAAAGGCTCACTAAGTGACTCCAATTCCTGCTCCAAGTTTAAACAACTCAAAACCTTCTTAATATCTCGAGTGAGGGCTCTAGAAAATATAAAATGAGCTGCGACTTCAAAAAATCCTGCTCAGTCTCGTTCATCGACGATGAGGTCGGTGAGAGCTTACCAGTAAAAATTGAATTACAAGGTCTACAAGAAAGCCCAAGGCACAACAAGATGTGCGATTGCTGTCAACAGCATGCCCAAGGTTCAACAAACTATTAATTTCAGAAAGAAAGGATTGCGTAAGTAAACAATACCTCTGTTACAACTGATTAGGGTATCACGACATTTACGAGTATGGGAGTAGATAAAATTGCAAGAAGTGTACCAAATGGTATTATACACTGCTATATGAAGAACAACTCACGACATCAACTCAAGCAAGTAGTTGTTTATCACCATCCTCCAACTGAAGAGAGGATACAATCGTCACACCACCCAATCCATTATCTGTGAATACCTGTTGGTTACTGCATTGGCTAAGAAATAAGTTCATCGTCAACGAACAACACAAGGAATTGCCATTTCATTTTACCACAGTCACCTATGGCACGAGAGCTGCCCCATTCTTAGCAGTGAGAACACTGCTACCACTGGTAGACTGGTAGACGAGGAAGAAAAATTCCCTTTGGCTGTGCCATCCGTCACTCATCGTAGATATGTCGATGACATCATGGAGGTGTAGACACGCCGCAACAGCTAATCGAAACCGCACTTCAATTGCACTGACTACTGCTCAACTTAAAGATCATGCGCCATGATGGACTGGACCACCATGGACTAAACCACCATACCCTCAATAGACTCATAGCCAAAACAGCTTACGCAAAGCACTGACCAATGCACTCAAAAAGCCCGTCCAGGCATCTCACTAATGACAGCAACTCACCAGCCTGTTTATCACTGGGACATCATTTACAAGTATTCAGACCTCGTTAAGTTATATACAACAACTGCTCTATGTATCAGAGAAGTCCAGGGTGACTGGAATTCCGAACAATATTAAATATTAAATATCTAACGGATATTCTTGTAATAATGTTATTATAATAAAAATGTGTAAGTGAGACTAAATTTAATTAAAGCTACTAAAGAATTATAGCTAGAATTGACTATTCACTATGACTAGAATTAATTATTAATAATTATCGCTAGTAATAAGGTAATTTATATAAAAAAAAAACATAATTAATTGTTTGAATAATAAATTTTGTGAATATGAGTATATAAAAATGTTATAATTGTATGCATATCAATCAAATGTAGCTAATAAGACTTATTAATAAGAATTATTAATAAATTTAAAAAATGACCCCTTATTTATTTATAATCAAATATAGTATTTTATAAGTTAAATATTTATAAGGTATGGATATTTATATTGAATTTGCATTGAATTTACAATTGATATTTACATTGAATTAATAATTTAAATCATTATAATATCAATTTTTATGTGCATTTACAAATAGCATTAGTGTATTATATATTAATATTTGGAATAATAAATAATATTATTTTTATAAATAATTTCTGCTATAAGTTTGAAAAAGCAATAGCGTATAATAATTTTTAAGTATTCAGTTCAATTATATTTAAGTATTAATAATTTAAACTTGAAATATAGTATACTTTTTTGAGCTTGTATAGTTAACTATTTTTTAAAATTTTTGAAAGTGTAGAAATAGAAAATAAAATTTAATATAACTAGTAAACATTTTATAATTAATATTTTAATAATAATTTGAAAATATTTGATTTGATAAAATAAAATTTTTATAATTTAAAAAAGATTTCAGTAAAATAAATAAAGATATACACTAATGGTAATATATAATTAATAACATTATCTTCTCTGATCGCTCATAAATAAGAAAACGTATATTCTTTCATTAACGGTATGCAAAAATACATTGTTATAACATACATGAAATTATGTTAAAGAGGTAGTTCATAAGAAAATTGTTAAATTAAATTCAATATATATGTAGCCGCTGACGTGACGTGCATTTATTGAAAACAAGTTTAATCGTGTAGAAGATGCATTAGTATTGATTACTTCATTCATCCAAAGTTATAAAATAATTATGAAAGCCATTATAATAATAATATTATAATATTCTAATAAAATATTTCAAAAGACGATATAAATTATTTTTATATAATTTAAGTTTTTACACATATTTTTTATAATCTCATTAATTTTGAAGAAGAAAAAATTCAAGTACGATATATATATACACACACACATACACATACATATAATTTATATAAAACACAAATATAATTGAAAACACTTAATTATTAATGACTAATTAATTAATAAGTAGTAATGATTTATGATTATGCTAGTACAGCCACTGAAATCATATAGTTAGGAAGTAATCATAGAAATTATTTCATGAGTGAAGCAGTATCGTAGTATTACATCGGTTGTCAGCTTCTTCAGACTCCTAGCGGTAAATCTCTGTATGTGAGTGAGCAATATGTCAAGATACGTTTACGCATGCAAGATCTTTGGTAAAAATATCGATTTTCGTGCAACATTCGATTTCGTAGGTGTGTGTGTGTGTGTGTGCGTGCGTGTGTGTGTGTGTGCCCGCGTGAGGTTTCGTTGCGGCCTAGGCCTTATCTATGATGACCTGTACGTGCGCGGGCATCTATTGTTACTAGATGGGGAAATGAAAGTACTAAGGAAATTGTTTAATTTTGCATTACACATGGAACAGATAAATTTAAATAATTCGTATTTCCAACACGTAGTCTCTTTATTAGCTCTATAGCTTAGTTATTTTTTATCTATAATTTAAAGTACCAACACTCAAAGGCTAATATGTAGTCAATATGTGCTGTTTTTATCGCATGTTTACGAAAGTTTAAAATGAAGATCTCCATGGATATAAGATCATGATAAATTATACGAGTATTTAAATATCTAAATACCTTCCTTTTATTGTACACATAGAATTACATAGGTTTATTCAAACATTGACCCAATTAATTTTCGCTTATTTATTTATTAATCTTTTCATCAATATATCAATTGATTTTTATCAATCTACTAAATCAAACTACTCTATAATTAAAATCTTTATTTATTTAAATATATCTTTAAATTTATAATATTATTATAGAATTTAAATAGATCCAGAAATAATACGACAGCATTATTTTCTATAGTTCAATACAATTATTAAAGTTTATCATATTTAATTTTTAATTTCCTTGTAAAATATAAAAATTATATATTATGATTTCATTGAATCATTTTATTATTCGAAGTTAATAAAGAATTTAATATAAATAAGATGTGTAGTAAAATGAAAATTTAAATATCAAAACAAAATATAAATTTACAAGATATGATAGTTTGTTTCGTAAAAGTATTAAAAAAAATATATAAACTTGCTTAAATTTATATATATATATATTTATTTATTTATTTATTTATTTATTTATTTATTTATTTATTTATGATATTCGATAATCCATATAATCGAAAATAAAAATTTCTTAAAATTCATATAGACTTTACAATATTTTGGAAATACACTTTTTTCTTATTATTAATATATTGTAAATATTCTGAGATACAAAATTAATTTAATTTTTACCGTTTATAAGAAAAATAGACAACCATTTAATAACGATTTTATTCTATTATGAAAATTATATCTTATTTTATGTGATATATATGTATATATAAATTACATATATATATATATATATATATATATATATTATTTTAATAAATGCTTTAATATATGCTCATTTAGTTTTAAAAAATTTCATTCTTCAATTTACATTTAGTTGGATAATTTCTAATTTACTAATTTCAAAATACTTAATTTTAGTAAATATACAAAATACTTTTATTTTCGATTTCATACCTTTTTTATTTATTTTAATAATGTATAACTAAATACTTTTAGACAAAAAATCAAATTTACAAATAATGGTAAAAGATATGATAACGATAAACACTTTTTTATTCTGTGAAATATCTAATATATGAATTTGTTAATTATTTACAAAAATTTTAAATATTACTTCTGATAAATATTAATAATTATAATGTATATCGATGAATTGTTATGAATTTTAAGAGAATAATTTTATATTATTTATAAACCATATCAAACATAATTTTGGTCGTTAATTTTTTTTTCTTCAAATTTAAGTATGTGTCTCACAAAATTCATGATGAAATGCAGATACAGAGATATGATTTAGATTAATAGGCATTTGCCTATACGCACGTTTGTCAATAAAGCGAAAAGTTCCTGAAAATCCAGCGGCAGTATTATTTGTTTTTGCACTTGCGCTCTCTGTATGGAACTCGAACACGAGAGTCGATCCTGAGCTGTAAAGTACTCGAGGTATGTCCTGAAAACTGCCACAAAGCAGACTCGACCAAGGTGTGTATTCGGACACCCCTGTGCTGCTAGGCTCGACGTGCAGAAAAACTTTGAGTGAATCGCCTCGAGTACAACTGAAAATTGAAAATTTTGGTACTTATATGTCATATAATAGAAAACGGAAGAAAATGAAAGAATAGAATTCATGATTCAAACTAATTACACCAATTAATTGAAATCAAGCAAATTCTTTTTTCTTACATAAGAGTACAAAATATTTTTAAATTTTTAATTATAATATGCATAAATATACATGATATTGTCGATGAATTAAGATATTAACTATTAAAGTTTTTTGCCATTTATTTATTTAATATAATAATATATTTACGAATATATATTATATCTTTACATTCACTTAATTTTAATATATTTGTATGAATTTTCCGAAAATTAATGAAGAATTAATTTGTAATTTTATTCTTCGAGTAAAAAAATGTATATATGTATATTACACTAAAAAAAATTTCTAAAAAGAGGGAAGATAGCAAATTTAGACATTAAAATAATAATAGAATAGAATAGAAATAATGCAAATATAAATAAAAATGATTATTTAATAAACATGTTTTATTAAAAAAAGTATGTGACATGTTTTTTTTTAAATAATTTTAAAATCAAAGTCGCTAAAATAAAAAAAAAACATAGAAAATTTAAAAATAGGTAGATGAAAAATTTTCCATTATTAAAATTAATTAGTCAAGCTAAAAAAATAGCAATAGATATAAAATTAACAAAGCACTTATGAATTGAAATATTGTTAACGAATGATTTTTTCTTATAACAATGAAAATAAAATAATATCTTTAAACGAGCAATTGATATAAATTACTATCGAATGTATGTTCAATGATAGAAAAAAAAGCAAGAAGAAATCGTATACAATTCAAATATAGAAAAAAAGTGATTTCGGTTAACATTGAGGAATTATATAAATTAATTAGTAATTCGAAAAGACTATATATGACTCTACATGTTAATGGACTTTTGAAAAAACTGAGAATGTAATTAAAATTATAAATAGACTATATGGCTAGATATAATAGAATGAAGAATATCGTGGATTTACTTTATAAGCAAAATTTCATTATCCGAAAATATCAAAAACAGAGAGAGAGAGAGAGAGAGAGAGAGAGAGGATTTAAAAAAAAATACATGAACAATGATAATGAAACAAGAAATTTATACGTAAAAAATTGATTATTACAAATAAATTTTTCTCATCAAAGTTAAAAAGATTAAAATAAAAATAAGTTCAATAAGTTTCAATGGAAAAAATTAAATTTGAATAATAGTGGAAAAGATAATTATTCCAATCAAAATTATGGATTAAATATTGAATAAATACTTGAAAACATAGGTATAATAATGTGTATAGTTACATTTCAGGTATAAAAACCTAATATTCTTATAAAAAATTAGAAAGTATCAATGATTAAAATATTATTGAGATAAAATTCTTAAAAATTTAGAAATTGAACATGAAATTATATTTAATATATAAAATATTTTTAATTATTCTTATACAAATCTAATGTATGATGAATATATTTATAAATTACAATGATAAATACGTGAAATTTCATCAAGCAGGATAAAAAAAAATATTTTTTGTATAAGTAAATTTACTTATTATCGAAAACATATCTAAAATATTGATTATTGAGCATAAAATAATATAATATTCATAGGGTTTGTAAAAGTATTGTTTATATAAAAAATGTTATAAATACCAGATATAATATTATCTATAATAATATTAGATTTTTCATTTTTTAAATTACATTACCCTTTCGGTTATACATTTTCATTGAAAAACATAAATAATATAACTTTAGTTTACTTAGAGATATATACGAACTACATAGAAGCTATATATTTTCACTAAATTATAATCTAATTAGAAGCTACAGATTCTTTTTACAAAATTTTAAAGTGAATTAATACAAACATATAACATTTTAATGTAAGAATAAAAATAATTTTTGATATTTTTCTTTTAATTCCATTATTAATTTATAGTATCTTTATTACACTGAAATACGTCTTTTGTGGAAAATTTCACAATTCGATATCCATTTTTCTAAGTAGAAATTAAATGGATTTTATTTAATTGCATTTTGACCAATTATAATACATTAAAGTAAAATATGTAATTACATTACTCATTAAATTATGTTTTTTTTTTTTTAATTGATCGTTACAAAGTCTCATAAGTAAATAAAAAATATATTCATTCACGTGTACATACATTATTTTTAAGAATCAATGACAATCTTAAAAACGAAAAAGTATCGTTTTATTTTTAAATTAATTAAAAATTTATTTTAAATATATTTAAAAACTTAGAAATTTGAACATACAATATTTCCTAGAACTATTATATATCTTTATACTTTATAGTGAAAAATTGATTTGAAAATATAAATTATAATTTACACAAGTTTTACATTGATTAAAGAATAAATAAAATATTCATTCAAACAGCATATTAATGTAAAGCAGTTATATTCAATTGTACAAAAATACAATTACATAAATTACAAAGTGATTTAAAAGAAATTTTAAATAATATAAGTTAACATTAAAAATAAATTATTCAACATAAAAGTTATGAAAATTGTGTGATATTAAATAAATAATTTGAATTACATAAAGTAAGAAGTAATCAATAAACGAGGGGAAAAAATCGTACATTAAATCTATCGATAATTTGTATATTTCATCGTAAATATTATTGAGATTTTTTGTTTCTTTTAAAATATTAATTAAGAAATTTCCTTGAAAAAAATTTCCCTTTTTATTCAACATTTTAAATAGTCTTTTACTTCAACTTAATATATTCAAATAAATTCAGTACTTAAAGAAATATGAATGATATATTATTGTGGAATAAGTGAAATAAATATTTGTAGTTAGGTTATTTTTTAGTATTTATGCTTTTCATCGAATACAACTATTTATTTCATTCAGTATAATACAGAAATATACAATTAGATTTATATTAATGCTATATTAATGTATAATTCGTATTATTATAAAAATATTTATTTTTCATATAATTCCTGTAGATGATAAATAGTATTATAAATGTCAAATGAATATTTTGTGTGAAAAATGGATATTTAATAGAATATTTAATAGTATAATTATGATTAAAAACTGAATTTTCAATAATAACTGACGAATACAATAAAAATAATAAGTCCTTTTATAATAAATAAGTAATACAGCTTTATTTGAAAATTACAGAAAAATTATAAGAATTATTATGAAATCAAGTAGAGAGATAAATCTTTTTAAAGATTGTTATTACATAGTATTAGAAATTTTTTAATTTAATATTTTAATAAGTTGGATAAAAAATTGTTTATTTATAGAGGTACTGCAAAAATTAGTATGAAAACTTAAAACTATTTTATTAATTACTATATTTGAATATCAGAAAATGAAGTACATTGATAGATAATATAAATTTATTTTTAAAAATATGAATTTTTTATTATTTATATATATATATATATATATATATATATATAAATCAATGTCAAGAAAAATCATAAATAATCAAATGCCTAAATTTCTTAAGTAAATACTTTTATATATTTTTGATTATATGAATCTCATATATCGAACAATACATCATTTATCATTTTTTGCATGTCTAACATTTCATCCATATATATATATATATATCATAAAATATATAATATAATATGAACATATAAGAATATGAAAGTTTATATTTTCTATTGCTATTTCTTTGCATTTAGTATATGAACATTTATAAACGGGAAAATAGTAATCCATTTTATTGATAGAGGCCAAAATTAGGATAAAATTAAATCACCTTAACAAATGCTACAAGAAAAATATTTAAAAACGAAAAAGTTAAAAGCAATTAATCATGAAAGTGATATAGTAAAATAGAAATTAAGAATTAAGATAGTACTTATAAAAATGTATGATTAATTTACACAAAAGCTTTATTCTATTTACATTACAAATGAGAATCTAATTTAATGTTTTAAATACTTTTTAATAATTAATGATAAATTATGTTTCTCTGAAAGTAATATTTATTATTATTTAATTTATATCATAAATAAAATACTACATTATAAAATTAATACTTAATTGGTGAAGCGTTAACTTATTTATAGAATCCCTATACTTGTACTTACTTAGGGAAAGCACTAAAAGTATGAAAATGATGAAACGTCAGTTCTATAATCTCATTTTGCCGTCCGTGAAATGTATAAAGAAGGCAGTCGATATTTGTAGGATAGTGATTTGGAAAGTCGGGTGATGTGAATGTACCACCTTGAGGGTTGTATCGACTACTATAAATGATGCATGAGCAACCTAAAGGCATAAAAGAATATAAAACATCAAAATACTTTTATGCGAGAGAACTTATACTTTTTTTATAATAAATGAGAACATACATAGTTATATTACATCCATTTTTATACTTTCTGATATTATTATATGTTAAGAAATTACAATAAATTAGTTTATAACCGTGTACATGGTCCATCGTATAATATTTTCAATCAAGCACTTTTATAGATAAAAGACTTTATAAATTGTATACATTCTAACAATATAGATTTATTGAGTAGTATTTGTTATTCGTCACTTCGCTTTACTAAATAAAAAACGTTTATTTTTTTCTATTGATCTCCTTTATTTCTTCTTTACATCGCTGTGCTTTTCTCAATTTATTTCAGTTTTTCTATGTTTCTTTTATATCGACTTAGTACTTGTGAAATTTACAAGTTTAAAATTATAATTTTATCAATATTCTTAAAAAAGAAATCTTTTTTTAGTGTATTCTGTGTTTATAACAAGTTATTACATATTACTTTATTTGTTTCTTTTATCAATAGTGATTTATTTTTAATTACATGTTGAAGTTTAAAGTTATAGATTTAAATTTTAATTTTAAATTTAGTTGTGCTTAATATAAAAAACAGACACAAAATTTCTTCGATAAAAGTAGCAGCAATTAATTTTTAAAATATTTATAATTGTTTGAGTGATATTTAAGAATAATTACTGTCCGGTAAAAATATATATTATGTAAATTGAAGAAAAATGTTGAGTAAATAATATTTCTCTTAATTCAAGAGTACACTAAATATAAATTTGGGCAGTCTATCCTAAAAAAAAAAAAAAAAAAAAAAAAAAAAAAAAAACTCTTAGATGTTAACTTTATAAATCAAGTATGAACTTTATATATGAAGTATTAAACAGTATTATTTGTTTTAGAATGGGATAAATACTTAATGAAGAAGTTTAAGGAATATTTTGATTGAAAATATTGCATTCTCCGCTCCAGGATTCCAATGTTGATAAAATGGAGCGACACTTTTTAGAGTATCGGCGAATCGATAAAAAGACTTTATGGAAAATTTTTGCAAATAAAACAGAAGTACAAAAACAGAAGTTCAAATTTTTCACTACTATCTGTTAATAGAAACATTAAATATCGATAAGTGTCGATAGAATTCTGTGAGTTAAGATGCAAAACAATAATCATAGCATTTCTTTATAATCATTTCTGGTGAAGTTTACCAAAGCAAACCAATGCAAGATATTATTACCACGAAAAGGTGCAATGACTCGGATTTAGTCAATCATTAAATCTATCTCTATTTTGAGTATTGAACGAACTTGTCATTATCTATAGTTTTCCATGATTTTTTATTTATTTTACATTTTTGATTTATGTAAGATATTTATCCGACATGTATTATTTCAATATATTAATAATAATAAAAATTTATGCACGTTACGAGTCATCTTAATCATTTTTTAATAATTTTCTATAATGTTCTGTAATCTCTTACATAACGTAAGTAATATCCAAGAATAATAGCTCCTACTGCAAACGAATACTATATTTCCGCCGCATTTCAATATTTAAAATAAATAATGGTATTAATATTTAAGTAGTATTTAATTAGATTATATAAGTAAATAATATCCTTAATAAATTAATCTCAAAAACATCCTTTATTAAATAATAATTATTTTTTATTTAATCAACAATATTCTCTAAAAATAATGGTAACATCGTTTATTTTCATTCCTTTATCATTTTCTATTAATTGTTTAATAAAGTGATAATATATTCATCAACTTAGTTATCGTACGTATATTCCCTTGTGAAATATTTCATTTATTAGGAGGTAGAGAATATTCAAAGTGAGGGTCAAATACGCACAATGGTTAGAGCAGTATACCCGACGCTTGTGTAATTATCGTTGCGAGGTAAAGTGTACGCGTATATATACATGTGTATACGTATCGTATATATGCCGACGACGCAATGCATGCACGCATTACTCTGAAACGGACTGTGCCACATAAATACAGGAAGAGAGAGACGAAAGGATAGAATGGGGGAGTTGAAAGCCTGAGTACATGCACGTGTATATGGGCTGCCAACCAGATGATAATGTGGCTCGGGGTGCAATTCGAACATTATCACCAGTGGCGATTTACGAGTGGTGCACCTATTTGCGGCTTATGCATCGTAAAGGTCACCGAATTTTCTAGTTTCACTGCCTAGAATTTTTCTCTTTATTTATTTCTCTATGCTACTTTGTTGAATATAATTTTCACAATAACCAGTTAGCTATGTCAAGTTATGGTGATGCACTGACCAATGCCGGGAAAAATAGCTTCATTATAAGTTATTAAATTAAAAATTAAACTGAAACTCAATTTAGCCTCAATCAATTTGTAGATATTTGAAATAATAATTGCAATTTTATCAGTATTGCATTTTAGGAAACCAACTAGACTTTTATCTATTATTTATTTATATAATAATATTTTTAATCATACCATAATTTTTATAATTTATATAGTAAAAGTACAATTTCATGACTATATTTGTAAGCGCACACAAGTAGTGTTATGATGTATGTTTTTAGACACATAATTAAGGTGAACACAATGGCATTTAAATTAAATAATAATAGCACTATGTATCGATTTTGCCATTTTCAATTGTAATGGTGTACATCTGAAAATATAGACGATTTAGAATGTATTTCAATGCTACATATGTACATATACGAGCGATGGTATTTTTATAAATCATAAATACACATGCCATTTAATTACAGCAAGGAATAATATTTATAAAATATTACAAATATTTACGTTATCAAGTGTATATTAATTTATATTTAATTGAATTGAGTATAAATTACTAAATTATTCATATACAATTACTAGTTATTATTTATACATTAATATAAAAATAAATAAATAAAAAATTGCCCAATAATATAAAAGGCATTAAAAAAGAAACTCTTATAGAAACATGTAATACATGAAGATTATTTAGAGAAAATAATTGAATTCGCTTGCTAAATGATTGATGACCGCAAGCAACGTAGATATAACTTATCATGATCTCTATATCAGATTCAATTTAATTCTAATTGCAAAAGTTACATCAAATCTACCTATAATTCTAGATTAATACTTCATTTAGCATAAATTAGATGAAATAAAACAGCACTTATAATCAATTTATTGCTATTTAAATTTTTTTTTTTTAATTATTTAAAATTGTGTCATAATGTGCATCACCAAATATCTTTATACAAATGCTATCTTTTTATCCAGTAGGTTTTGTACTTTACAATGATTTTGATTTGAAATATACAATAAATTAAAATAATTAAATATAAAACTTTTGGGAACAATTATTTAGAATACTATTAACAATTTTTCTTAAGTATAATTTAATTTTCTGTTATAATGAAATATTTTACCCCTCTTGCTTTATCAGCTTATATTTATAATTAATTTTATGTGATAAAATTATTGATTAAAATAATTTTTCAAATATAAACATTCCAAAATTAGGAAAATGATTTATAATATAACACATAGTTGTAATTAATATTTTATAATGTCGAAGTTATTTTTCACAAAACAGAATAATTACAGCAGATGTAAACCTTTTAAACTCATATCTTATATCTATAGAAAATTTCAATAATCAATATCTGATATATTTAATAATTATGTGAATAACAATTTTTATTTATATATATATATATATATATATATCATTTTAAATGTAAATAAACGATTTTATTTAATATAGACAATATTTTGAAAAATATTTTCATATAGAATATTTTTCACTATATTCAAAATATTATTTCATCCGTATAAATAATATATTTATTCTTTTTATTACAAACTAGATTTTTCATTAATTTATTGTGCCTATTATGATTATTATAATTAACGAAAATACAATAGTTCTTATGTTTATGTTAAATTAAAAAGTTACTTAATCAAAATCATTTTATTTATAGCTTCAGCTATGTTCACACATTTAATATTGATAGTAGAAAATATTATATAGTGATTTAACATACTTTGCCTGTTAATTTCTGTAGTTGAGTATCCATGAACAATATATGCAATAGATTTTTTTATTTATTTAAGACAAGTTAACAGTTAAGTAAGATATTTCTCTTAGAAACTTTTAGATACTCATTAAAAGTTGTACATTGCTCAATGCTTTTAATTCTGATGTTCAATATATTTTTAGTGTGATATACACAGTAAATTTAAGATAGAGATGACTTATTACTTTTATAAATGTTAATCTATTGTCTATATAAATAGCACGGAGAACTTAAGATAAAAATTAAAAGATGATCAGATAAATCTGTATTAAAGGTTGTTCTAAAGTATATAATTTTTATTTAATTTATACATTCAGAATGTTGGTTTATTAATATTAATATTAATAATCATATTAATAATGTTATTTATTATAATTATTATAGAATAATTAATTAAAAATATAATTGCTGTATTAAATTATGCAAGCTCTAAATTTTTTAGAGATTTAATATTTCATATTATTCTTATTTTAAATTAATTGCTATACCAAATATTTTCGCACACTTAATTTCATCTTTGAGACACTTTTGATATTTCGTACTTTATATATTTTTGTACTATTTTAATAAATATTTTTTTCCCTTTCATTTTATATTTCACATATAGCGTTAGATTTTTAAGAATTTTATTATGTGCAATTTTTTACTAATATTCACATTAATTTTTTACTAAAAGATTAAATTTCATATTTTATACCAAGTTTACTACCATTTTATGCTTAAAGCATATTTATAATTTTCAAACAATAGGATGCATCTTTTAATATCTGTAAAAATCCGTAAAAAAGTTTTATTAAACAATACAAATTATAACCATATATTTTTACTGTATTGCATTGTTGCTATTTAAGTTAGTGTTAGTATAATGGAATCACTTTAAAAATTTATAAAATAATCGCGTAAATATAATTTTAC